GCAGCTGGGGTCTCCACACAGACCCCCTCCTCAGCCTCAGCACAAGCTTGTCCGGATGACCTTTGTCCCCCAAACACAAAGTCTGACCCAGGACCCCCCTCAAGCCCTGACTCCCAATCCTTTCTACTCAACTCAAGTGACAAGAAATGGCCAATAGTTTAGGTGGTGTTGGGTGCACAGGGACATTTGCTTTTCTGGCCCATGCTGTAACGTTGCTGGCATTTTAAAGATCTCAGGGCTTTGATTCAAAAACGGCAGGATGCCGGGGACCCCAGACAGCTTCCTGGAAACCTGCCTCTGGGCCTTGCAGCCCTCCCATCCCACCAGCGCTCAGAATCCCACCAGCTGCTCAGAATCCCTCCAAGCCACAGACCCACAGTCTTGAGTCCTCAGATGGCCCAGGCGACGTGCCTTCAAAAAGTGATCCCGGTGGGGCTGCAGGACACACTGCGGATTCCAGCAAATCCCCCTCCCAGAAAGTGAGGGTACCACTGGACAAACTGTCCAAAACCAGCCAGGTCAGGGTTCCAGGAAGACACCAGAGGCACAGGAGTAACTGAGGAGCATCTGAAGGCCAGGTAGGGACAGTGAGAACCTCTGGTGTTTTTGCCTAGGGGCAGCTCCGGTCCCCCTAAACCCTCAGTGGAATGGCTTTACTGGGGCACTGGGGGGGGAACCATGCCTGGAGGACCCGTGGCTCCACTGTCCGAGGTCGCCGACTTGATCAGTGCGCAGGTGGGGAAAACCGGCCACACCCCGAAGAATTTCTAGAAACAGTAGCCATCTCAGTGGTAGCTGACCTGGGAGGTCAACCTTTCAGCTGCCTGAGGTGAGATCGAGCCACAGACCAGCACACTAGCCAGAAATGGAAGAAGGAGAGCCAGTTCTTCATTTCATAGTTTCTAAGTCACCGGTTTGTTCCTACGGTTAGTATATTTTGCATCCTGGGAAATCTCTGCCTGTCTAAGGTCTTGAAACTGTTCTCCTCATGTTCTCTGCTGGAGAGGTTCTTGCAAAATCTCTGGTTTATAGGTAAAAATCATCTGGAATTGACTTTGGTTGGCACACCCATGCTGGGAAAAGGATGAAGCTTCCCAAAAATACTAAAAAAAGAACTCCCGTATGATCCCACTATCAGGTAGACCTTTTCAGGAAATAAAGTCAGTTTCTCGAAGTAAGATCTGCATTCTCCCACCCAATCTCCCTGAGGAGGGGCGGCCACCCTTAGCGACCCTCCCCTTGAGGCAGGTGCCTCCCTGGACAAGGGGCTACCCCAGGGCTGGAAGGTCTCCACAGCAGCACATCCAATGTCCTGGATACTAGGAGACAGAGTACAGCACCAGGCCAGTGAGGGTTAGGACACACTACCCCAAATACGGCACCTTGGCAAAATAAATACAGAAGCTAAAAGAACTTTTGCATAGAGCAAAGCAAGAAGGTCTCTCTGACCCCCAGCCATCAGCCCTTTTTCCCTTAAGCAGGTCAGAAGACTGCCATGTGGAACTTTCTCTCCCCGGACCACAGAGATGACGTGCTTATCACCAGAGTCAAGGAATTTAGGACCACGGGGTCTATACACACACACCTGGTTAAACTAACCCTTATCTTCCTAGTTACTTCTTTACCGTTTACGAGCCCTAGTCCAAACCCCTGCGTCTGTCAATTCTTCACACACTTACTGCTTCTTTGTCTAAAAGGTAGAAGAGCTGTCTGCTCCAGTCACCTCTGCTGGTCTTCATGGTCTTGTGAGGCTCCCACCAAAGCAATCAATACATTTTGCTTGCTTTTCTCCTGTTCATCTGTCTTTGTCAATTTCCAGACTCAGCCGGGGACCTTAACAGGGTTGAGGAAACCTTTTTCCTCTCTTGCAGCCCTGTGGGGCAGGGGTGGGGAGTCAGGAAAACCCATCCCATCTTCCTGGCTTTGGTTAAAACTGACCTCTGCTGGGAAGCAGCATAGGACTGTGCACGGCTGGGGGAGCCAGAGAGAGGCACGTGGAACATGTAGGAGCTACCTGACCCCCAGCCGGGGGACTTGGCCCCAGTGACAAGTCCAGGGTGTGATTATGAATATTATAATGGAAGCATCCTGAACATCAGACCTTCCCCACTCCAGGCTTCATGATTGCTGCTCGTTGTAGTTGCTACTGTTGGCTTAGTGACTTTTCTGAACTCACTTTGTCAAGTCTGATTCTTTGCCGTGTGTGGCCACTGAATCCCTGTGCTGTTAACTCAGTGGTCAGCCAGTGGCTGGGCAGAGAGGTCACCCCTGTTTCCGAGCTATGGGCTACAGACTGGAAGTCCCCACAACCTCCTCTTCAGGTTTGAATAATCTGCTCCAGTGGCTCATGGAACTCAGAGAAACATGTTACTTACTAGATGACCAGTTCATTAAAAGGACAGAACTCAGAGCCAGGCAGCTGGAATCGATGAGCAGGGCAAGGTGTGTAGAAGAACCTCGGGGCTCCCCCGCTCTCTGAGTTAAAGAGGCCTTTGCCCACCTCCACTCTGACCTTCGTCTGTACTTCCTAACTGATGACGTCCTTCCTTCGGGCTCATCTGTTAACTCAAGTGAAAGACCTGGTGGGCACCAAAATGACTCCTCAAGTAATAACCACTGCTGATGTCCTGGTGATTCTTGGGCACAGCCATGAATCTCAGCTTCTTCATGATGGGGCGCAGCCCAGCAGCTGTGGATCCCACAGGTCCTCCAGGGGCAGCCCAGCAGCTGTGGGTCCCACAGGTCCTCTCGGGGACAGCCCAGCAGCTGAGGGTCCCACGGGTCCTCTGGGGACAGCACCTTAATGGGCTTATGGTCCAGCAAGTACCTGTTCAGGTGGCTCTCATTGTGCCACACAGCCTCAATCCCAGTGGCCAGGTTGACCCCCATTGCCTGGTGACAGGCCAAGGTCAGTTGGTCCTCTACCACCGACCCCGCAAAAAAGGTCCTCATGTAGTAAAAGTCGCCCTTGTCCCTGGGGATGTGTGCCTGCGACTGTGGCCAATGCTCGTAGCTGAAGTCCTTGTGGGCTGCCTGGTAGAAACCGGGGTGCAGGGTGCCAAAGAGGGGGGACAGGATCTCCATACTCACGTGGTCGCAGAACTTCATATCCACCTCTGTGCATACCAGGTAGTCCACCTCACGGAGGAAGTGTGGAATTATTCTTAGAAAATATATTGTAAGCCCACAGGAGTGATTGTGGAAGCAGCTGAAAGGTCAACAGCGTTCCTGTTCTCAGACTATTGAACGCAAGGGCCCAGTAGGAGCAGGATCCCATGATCCCCAGGGGCAGGGCACAGGTTAGGAGCTAGGAAAGAATGTAACCCTCAGGTCCCCTTTCTGCACCTGGTGCTTGCTAGCACAAACATCCCACTTTCCCCTTATCCCATGACTGCCTCCCTGAGTGCCTGCCCCTAGGGGAGGGTGCAGGACTGCTTTACCGCTTCAGGATACTTGCCATCCCTTTGTCCTCCTCTCCCACGCTTTGAGGCAACTGCCCTTGATTTTCTGATAAAAAAATGAAATAAAAGCAGAGGCAGCCCTGCATGGTCACTCAGCTGCTGGGCTGCCCCCCATCATGAAGAAGCTGAGATTCATGGCTGTGCCCAAGAATCACACATGTTTCTCTGAGTTCCATGAGCCACTGGAGCAGATTATCCAAACCTGAAGAGGAGGTTGTGGGGACTTCCAACTCATGGCAGGTGGGGACAGAAACTTCAGGGGGTCAGCCAGGGGAGGGGACCTGCAGGGTTTGCCCGGGAGCTCAGCACAGGGGGAGTGTTCCTGGCTCCAACATGCTGACTGTGGGGCTGCATGGGTCACAGGGTCACCTACCCTAACCCTAACCCGTTCTTGCAACTTTCTTCTACATTTGAAATTACACCTAAATAAAAGGTTTAAGACGTCACGTGCATCGTCATGTGCGAGATCTGACCCCAGCGCCCTCAGCAGCTCAGCGTTAAGAGAACGAGAGGCCTCCCTTCCTGTCCCTGGAAGAAGACACCTGGAATCACGCGAAGGAGGGAAAGCAGGGCTGGGGAAGAGGAGAGCGACCCATTTTTACCGCACATCCTCTGGTGCCGCGTGACTGTCTTACGTGTGCGTGAGCAAATCAATCAGGAAAATGAAAACGCAGAAACTCGCGGGAGGAACCCTTCTGCACCCACAAGGGGAGCAGCATCCTCAGGGACACGGCCTATCCTTCAGCTCCATGCTCGCTCCGCCTCCGCCCGCCTCCCTCCTGGGCAGCCCAGCCGCGTGCCTCACGCGCCACCTGCTGGCGGAGCGGGCCACTGCGGCCGAGGCGCGCCAGCCCTCCGTGCCACCCTGGCACCCACCCTCCACCATGCGTGATCTCGTGACCGCGGCCACATACCACCTTCCGGAGAGCCCCCGCAGCCAGCAATATGCCCAATGCAGCGTGGCACTCCGCAAAGATGAGACGTACCGAGGAAAGGACGCAGCTTCGAGGGGAAGCCCAGCAAATGGACCTGGAGGCGAGCACCCGCCTCAGAGCCTGGTGGCAGAGCGGCCCCGCGGCCATGGTGACCCCCGAGAACCACACTGCTGACTGTACGGCCCCCTGCTGGCCCGCCCACCCCAGCCCCGCCTGCGCTCCCGGGGTGTTCACAGCCTATCCCACACTTTACACCAAGGAAGGTGTAAAGTCAGCAGCACTCAGGACCCCGGTCACCAGCTCTGTGTCCCCACGAAGACTCTGAAAAGCAGGGACACCAAGCTGGCCAGTCCTGTGGAGCAAACCAGTTCAGCCCCAAGAAGCCAAAGGAGTTCAATCGGAGCATTAAAAAATAGAACAGAACAGAAAATACCGGATCAATGGCCCCGGAAGCCCATGACCAACACACAGCTGAAGTAAACCTCAAGGACAAACGGCTCATCTCTGTGACTCGCGCAGGACGGCACAAACACATCGCCCTCTGACAAAGTAAACCACACGTGGGGGCGCAGGTGCACGTGCCTTCCGCCGGCGAGGGACTCACCGAGGTCTGTGTTCAGGCCGGCAAGGAGCTGCTTGAACTTGTCGAGCCGGGAGGCCTCTCGTTCACTTAACGCTGAGCTGCTGAGGGCGCTGGGGTCAGACGCGCCACCCACGGCGGCCGCCACCGAGTGCGGGAGAGACTGGGACCACTGCAGAGGAGCAGTGTCGCCGGCGCTGTCTGGGGAGAGAGCGCGCAGGGGGTGAGGATGGCCTCCTGGACCCCCCCCCCATGGCCCTGTTCCCCAGTAAGAAGGCTCCCACCCGCGCCACCTGCCCTTCGGGAACGCCACCGTGCCACAGCCATCCCCTCCTCCCGTAACCGGCCAGTGCAGACCCGCGTGACCGGGGCAATAAAGTGAAACTAGTGAACACCCAAGAAGCCCACTGGCCTTACTGGTAGAGCGTTACTCCATGGGAAAACAGACGTGCCTCACACAAAAGCAAAACGACAACCAGAAAACTCCAGACCCCCCCGGCTCCCCCACTGCTAGCAGGCCTGCCCAGGTGACACAACCCAAGGATCTGCTGGTGCCTGTGGGGCTCACCTGGGCCTGAGCACAGAAGGAAGCCACCGAGCCACACGTGGAGGAGCATGAAGCCCACAAAGGCACTGCACCCCTTGGATCTCCCCAAGCCCCATGAGGGAGGCGGGCAGGGACCATCACCAAGAGAAAGCACAGGAAGCTAGAGCGCATGCAAGCAGGGGAGGGGCAGCAGGTTGCAGGCCTGCCCAGCACCCCCCGCCCCAGGGCACCACCTACCACCACGCACAAAGGCCCACCGACAGGGACACACAGGGCCGAAGTGAAACCGTGCGTTAAATCCAGGAACCCAGAACAGGAAGAGCCACAGAAAAGAGCCCAAGGCCCAACACCCACTCAGAAAGAGCCACCAGGGACCAACGAGGGGCCCACAGGAACAGGCAGCACCAGGCTGTACACCCCCAGGTCTAAATACCCTTGAATGGTCACATCTCCCAGAACTGAAATTTAAAGTAGAGGAAAAAACCAACTCCAGGAGATGGGGCGGGAACCAAACAAAGTGAAGAAAACATGCCGGCTCCTGGCCGCCGCTATCAGACTCCCACCGACCCCCTCCTTCCCGCAGAGCTGACTCATTACCCTAAAATCGAGGCCCGGAAAGGCTTCACACAGAAACCCTCAGGCTACAGAGGAGCAGTGTCTGGCCCAGTTAAGCTTCCAGAAAAGCCTGGAGAGGTGGGCGTCGAGGTGAGGGCAAGTCCCAGCCCCTCCGCAGGGCTGACCCCTCGCTTGCAGGAGGTGTCCCCACCGGCCTGCCCTCCGGGAGGCCCCGGGGCAGCGATGCTCAGACCCCCTCCTCCCCGCCCTCGGAATCTGCCACTCCGCTGTGCGTCATGATTCCTCAGGAAAGACGATGGGCGGGAGGAGGGATTCCTCGTTCTAACGCGGAACCAAACGTGCTGAGTTTTACTTCTCCGCCATCTTAGAGAGCATCCCTGTGATCTACTCCGACATGTAAGGACCACGTCGTCCTGAGGAGAGCACACATCCGGTCCCCCTCTAAGATGGGACGGGCAGGGTTTGCAAGGCACAGTGATGCCCCCTGCCCCCCGAGGAAGCAGGAAGGTCAACAGCAGGTCTCCCTGCTACTGTAAGTGGAAAACACATCAGTGTCCCCCTCCGGGGCAGCCAGTGTCCACCCAGGACCCACTTGCAGCTCAGTCCCCATCAGCGATGGACAGTCCTCCCCAGCCACGCCCACTGAGCCCTTCGCAGCCAAAGGCGCAGGCTCCCCATTACGCCAGCGGCACCCTAGACCAAGCAAAGGGCATCTGACTTCAGATACAAAGGTACAGATACCTCAGACGCTGATTAAGAAAGTCAGGACAGTCGAAAGGTAAGCAGGAGGCGCGGGGAAGGCCAGCCGGAGACCCCTGCTGCAGCATCCCGGAACTTTCAGGCTGCCATCTACCCAGGGCTGAAGGCCAAAGGCGAGGGCAGCCAGCAGGCCCTGTGGACGCTGCGTGGGGTGACGTGAGCTCCCACGGTGGCGCACCATAAAGGGACAGGCACCGACACAATGCCGGCAGTGGGAAGGGCAGGCAGCACTCTGATCAGACTGGGCCCCGTGAAACACAGCGTCCAGGCCCCAGAAACACAACTCCGCTCCGAGGAGCACAGTCACATGAAATGGCACTCAAAGGTCCCTCACCTCAACAGAGGCCTGGCCTGGCCCTGGGCCGTGGGGCCGGTGCAGGGACAAGAGTGGGGCAGAACATGGAGGAGGGGAGAGCCCGCGGTCACCAGGCCCTGAAGACACCTCAGTTTAGCTCAGCAACATTCACATAATGACACAGGACCCCAAAGGGAAACAAAGGTAATGGGGCATGGTCCCTGCCTTGGGGGAACTTGCAAACCACGTAGATGAGGTGTGCAGTCAGCCAGCCCAGCCCACCCGGCACCTCCCCTCGGCTGGGATGGCCCCACCTCCTAAGCCTGGAGCCTCACCCTACCGGTAACCTTAGAGACATCACCTCCTCCGTGAAGCCTTCCCTGACACGTCCTGGCCCTCCCCAACAAGACTGAACTGGGACTTCTACCCCTGGGTGCTTCTGGGTCCTGTCCATCACTCCAAGGCTCCATTCCACCCAGGGAGGTGAAAGACTCAGATCCTTGTGTTTCCCCACTAGACTGCCTGCCAGTCAACACATTTGCGCCGGGCCCAGCCCAGTAAGAATGAGGGCTGACGTGGTCATCTTAGCGCCAACACCGAGTAAGCCAGCCCCACGACTAACAGCCCACCAAGGGAACTGAACACAGGCCCACGAGTTCTGCGCACCACTGCCAGCCACCCGTGGGGTCGGCTCCCTGAGAGGCCACCTCGGGCTCCAGAGCGGCCCTCTCCCCCTTGGCACTGTGCACGGTCGGGCCAGAGAGTCCCCTGGGGGCCAGGCACCCTGGTCTCTGCCCACTTCATGCCAGGAGCACACACTCCCTGCCCCAGATGTTAACAGGAAAGGTCCTAACACAGGACCTCATGTCCCCTGGGGGCGGCATCACCAGCGAAGAGGCCCTGCTCTCTGTGGGGAGGTCAGCAGCTAGCAGCAGGCCCTGGCCTCAGACGCCCTGGACTTGAACCCTACCCCACCGCTCAGCATGCTGGGCGAGCCACGTGACCTCCCTATACCTCCCCCGTAAGCTCTCTCCTAGACTGGCTGCAAAGTCAGAGGGATCTGTTCATGACGAGGGCCCGACACAGTCTCTGCCCCACAGTAAGCGATGGACAAACACTAGCTGCTATCATGAAATGAACTGCTCACAAAAAGCCTGCTCAGAAAGCAAAGGAAAGATGGTTGATGCGCAAGCGGGTGGAGGCAGAAGGCAAACACAGTAATCGGCCCCTTCCCCAGCATGAGCCGCTTGGGGTATCCTTCACCTGGCTTTTACAGGAGGAGGCCACCCCAAGGCTCCCCACCCTGGCAGGATGCAGCCCAACTGCATACCTGGCCATGGGCTGAATGCCGTGAGGCCCCAAAGTCCGTATGCGCAAGTCCTTCCCCAGACGGGACGGTGTTAGGAAGAAGGGCCTCAGGTTTAGAGGAAGTCAGGAGGGTGGGGTCCCCTGATGGGATCGGTGCTCCTGAGGAGTCACGAGACAGCCCGTTTCCCCTCTCTAGTCTCCCCCATGTTGGGATACTGTGAGAAGGCAGCTGTCTGCGCCCCGAAGAGAGCCAGGACCCAACCGTGTTGGCCGCCTGACCTGACTTCCGGCCTCCAGAACGAGGAGACCTAACTTTCTGCTGCTCATGCACCATCGGCCTGTGGTGCTCTTCGCAGCAGCCCCACGGCCTGAGAGAACAGGAGCCTGCCCGCTCAGCCGAGATGGGCCCCCACCTCTACGGGTGCTGAGGCCCGCCCCCCAGCAACTGCTCAGATGGCAGGTGTCACAGAGGCTCTACCCAGGCCCCAGAGGCGTGGGGCACAGCAGAGGGCAGAGGAATCCGGGGCACCTGCCAACTTGAACAGGCACCCAGGCTGAGGGCACTGCCCGGCCGGGGCGCGCAGGCGGTAATCGGCATAGGATGCGTCAGTCTCGGGGAACCCCGACCCACTCGCAGAAGCCCTAAACAGATTTTCATTTTTAAACTCAAATACTTTGAAGTTCAGCCTATTTTGGAGAAAAACAGTTCAGATTCCAATATGAAAACTGGTCAAAGGAACTAATTCACCGCGTTCTCACCCACGAAGACGTGTGATGTTCCAAACATTAGTCAGCTCCCGGGAAGGGTTTCTGAAAACTAGACAGGGGGATGAACGCCAGCTCCGTGGTCCCAGCAGGGCAAGCTGAGGCTGCCCGATGCCCTCTTCTCTCCTCTGTAAACAAGGGGCAGTCCCCCTGACCCCCAGAGACCCTGGGAGAGGGAGGCCGTGAGTCCGCCGCGGTGCAGGCCGGCCCCTCTGCCACCAGCTCCCCACGCCTCACTGCCTCACCTCACTGATGCTCACGTGTCACCTTCTCAGTAGGGCATCTGGATGCTCTGACTGAAGATTACGCCCCAGGTCCAGGCTGCTGTCACCACCTCCCACCTCTGTCTCGACCCAGGGCGCTTGTCTCCTCCCCGCACGCTCCAGGCCTCCTTACTGACCCAACGTGTAGGTCAGTGCTTGTCCCCCTCACCAGAACACACACTCCAGGCCAGGGACTTCCTGGGGGCACCCCAAGCCCTAAGAGTCTGGCCCATCACAGAGGCTCATCAAACACTGTGTTGTTTTACATCATAGACACCCCCAAAAACAAAAAGCAAAGCTACTGAGAGCCGTCTCCAGAAAGGCTACTGAGCACCAGGCACGGGGTACGAGACATGCGCTGATCGCATCCTTGAGTGTATGACCTGGAGGCAGTCATTCCACACCCCAGACTCTGCCCCCTACAGACTCTGAGCCACGTGCAGGTGTCCCGGCGGGGGAGGGGGTGTCATTGGAAGCTGCCAGAGGAGGTGCAGCCTCTGAATGTGCAGTTGGCCGGGCCCCTGAGCTGGAAATGTCCCCCTGGGACAACCGGGGCACACTTAGAAGGGAGACACAGTCCCCTGGGGCCTGGTGCTCACTGTGGGCCTCTCACAGCCAGGCCACGAAAGCCACACAGCACACCCTCCACCCGGAGGAGAGAAGCACTCAGCTGGGGACACAAAGAAAAGTCTACGGCTTCTCCTGCCTGGGAAGGCCTGTGGGCACGTGGATCACAACCCCAAGGTCTTCCAAGGGCACGAGCTCCTGTGGCAAAGAGGACGGAACGCCCGCTAACCTCCCGCACCGAGAGGCCTCCAGCCCCTCTCCCTCGCAGCACTGCGCGTCATCTCCTCGCGCCCCCGCCCACCTGCAGGACAGGATGTGTGGCTCTCGCTGACGGACTTCACCAGCCGAGGTCACCGCTCGGGACCGAAGGAGGCTCTGCCGAAGGCTGTGGCTCCTGCTCGGGGCCCGGCGCCTCCTGCGGCTTGCGGTGCTCCTGCCGCTGGCTGTGGTTGCGCAGGACGCGGTGGGCCGTCTCCATGACCACGTCGGTGTTCAGGCTCTCGGCTGCCACGGCCAGGAGCCCGTCATTGTCCTCGCCGGCATCCCAGGCGTCGCTGGTGTTGCTCTCAAACTCCGGGAAGGTGCTGATGCTCTTGGCCTTCACGGGTGTGGCGGGCGCCTTGGGCGCGCCCTTGAGCAAGCTGCAAAGCAAAGGCAGACTTCAGCTGTCCCCCCGGAGGCTGGAGCGGACTCACCCCACGACCGGTCAGAAAGGAGCCCATGGATGAAAGGTGCACATTCAAGCTTCCAGTGTCAACTGAGCTGAGGGTGAAGAGCAAGCACAACCCAAAGAGGCATCCGAGAGAGGACTCCTGGGGCACCCAGGGGGCTCAGTCGGTTAAACGTCTGCCTTCGGCTCAGGTTGTGATCCCGGGGTCCTGGGATCGAGCCCCACATCGGACTGCCTGCTCGGTGGGGCGTCTGCTTCTCCCTCGCCCCCCTCCCTACCCCCCCACTCCTGTGCTCTCGCTCTCTTTCTCAAATAAATAATCCTAAAAAAAAAAACAGAAGAGGACTCCTAGGATTCGGGGGCAGGAAGGAGAGGCTCTCGAGGGGCAGTACCGCTGAGCAGTCTCTGCTCAGTGACAGAAGCCACTCAGGAGGAACCCCAGCACCGCAGTCACGGCATTCACAGGGAGTCCCCAAACCTCACCCGGGCCAGTGCCCGCAAACCTCCTAAGGCAGCAGTGGGGGCGGCGGGGGCAGGAGCGGCTGTCTTTCGGTGTGCAGACACGACACAGCACCACTAGAGCAAGAGGCCCCGCGGGGGGCCCAGTGACACCCGCCAGCACGGGCGGGGGGTCACATCAGCCCCCTGCGTGGCTCTGGTGGAGGAGCCAGACACAGGGGCAGAGCGTGCAGTGGAGGGCAAGGGAAGTGAGCTGACCACCGAGAACAGGCCCGGGGCCAGGCCCTCCCGTCAGCTAAGGGGGTGCCAGCTTCGTGCTCTCCTCCACTTTGGGCTGGGCTTCCTCCTCTGCCCTTGTCCGGAGGACCAGTCGTGCGAGGCCCTGACGCGTGTCTGCTCGAGGGAAGACCACGCTGCTCCCCTCAGGACCCCGAGGAGGCCGGCGGGTCACCAGGACGCCCAGGCGCGTGCGTGATGCAGCATGACCACAGGCCTCATTTACGTGCCGTGTAACAGTGGGTCGAAGGGGGGGTGCTGGGCGCCGTACACATGCTGGATGCTGTTTAAAAAGAAAGGAAAACCGATTAGCTTCTCTCCGGCTTCCTCAAGAGCCCACACTAACTCGGGAAAAGGACCAGTTCCCAGTAACCTACACGCCTGAGCAGCAACTCTCCCTCAGCTGCCACGGGTCCCGAGGGCCCGTCTGGAAGGGATGAATGGCGCCACACAGGTCCACGCCACACACACAACGGGGCATTCAGCCTGCCGGGCAAATGGGCCTCAGCCCAGGGAGCCGCAGCCCTGACCGCATCGGCAGGGCCTCAGGCGCCGCTGCCGACGAGGCTGCTGGGAGCTGGGAGCCACTCAGCATCGCCCAGTTCCAGCAGCCTCTGCTCCCGGACCGTGTGCCAGCGGCAGGACTACGAACTAATGCTGAAATGCCCGTCTGGAAATTCCCATCTGCTGCCATTTCGTCAAAGACAGAATGCAGAATCACAAAAAGAAGATAAATGTGTTTTTTAAAGACTTAATGATTTTATTATAAAAGTTTTCTGGGGGCACCCAGGGCGCTCAGTCAGTTAAGCGTCTGCCTTCAGGTCAGGTCATGATCCCAGGGTCCTGGGATCGAGCCCCACATCGGGCTCCCTGCTCCGCGGGAAGCCTGCTTCTCCCTCTCCCACTGCTGCTCCCCCACTCGTGCCCTCTCTCTCTCTCTCTCTCCCTCTCTAATTAAGTAAAATCTTTTTAAAAAAGATAAAAATTAAATTTAAAAATAAAGTCTTCTGTTCATCAGAGTAAACTTGGAAAACAGATGGAAACAAAACAGCCCCCGTGGCAGACACCAGGGCGGTCCACTGAGTGGCTGCACCCGCACCCCTTCCTCGGCGGGGGCGTCCAGCCAGGGGAGGCCCTGTGACCCAGCGCAGCTCAGTCACCAGCAGTGTGGGCCCTTCCTCATCTGCCTGGAACACACATGTGAGGCCTAGAGGTTCCCCAGCCTCATGCCACCATGAGAAATGAGCAGGAGATATCAACCACCCGAGAACGCGGGCACGGCAGGAAGATGAGAAAGAGCACGGGTCTCGGGGGCACTGCAGCCCTGCCAACACCTTCATCTTAGCCCAGCACCAGAACTATAAGACAGCAAGTGTGTATTATAAGCCAATAGGGTTATGCTGATTTGTTACAGCAGCAGCAGAAAACCAAAAGAGAACAGAATGGTGACAGACAGGTGACAAAGCCATCCTCTTGGCTTATGGAAGCTTAAAGGTCTCTGTGGTTAAGTCAACCTCACTTTTATGCGTTACACGGGGCTCTCCTTTGAGGACTCTACTTAAAAAGGCCCACCCCCAACTGTCTTAGTCCATCCCGGCTGCTATAACAAAAATACCACGCATGTGGCAGCTTATAAACAAAGACATTTATTCCCCACAGTTCTGGAGGCTGGACGTCCAAGATCAAGGTGCTGGCAGATTTGGTATCTGGTGAGGGCCTCAGCTGGTGCCTTCTGCTGCGTCCCCACCCAGCGGAAGAGGCAGGGAAGGTCTCTGGGGTCTCTTTTATAAAGGCTCTAATCCCACCCTGGGGGAGTCCAGCCTCAGGACCTCCTCACCCCCTCAAAACCCCCACCTCCTAACACACTCAGTCTGGTGGGTAGGGCTTCCTGTGAGTTTTGGGAGCGCACGAACATTCAGCCCAGCCGACTTACTGAGATGGCATAAATCTCCAACTGTGTCCTAGTTCCACACTTGTGTGGTTTTATTTTTTACCCTTGAGTATTGAGTCACCTAGAATTTATTTTATTTTGCTACAGACTGTAGAAAACTTTTTTTTTTCTTTTGACAGAGAGAGAGATAGCGATAGCAGGAACACAAGCAGTGGGAGTGGGAGTGGGAGAAGGAGGCTCCCCGCCGAGCAGGGAGCCCGATGTGGGGCTCGATCCCAGGACCCTGGGACCATGACCTGAGCCGAAGGCAGACGCTTAAGGATTGAGCCACCCAGGCGCCTGTAGAAAACTTTTTTAAAAAATAATCCACTGCTCCAATGACATTGGTTAAAAACCTATCCTATTCCCTACTGGTTTGCGGACACTGTCTTCAATACGCAGGAGATTACTCTATGCTGGGGCATTTTTTCAGTTTTCCATTCATTCCTCCATGTCTGTGCCTGTGACACAACATTTTAATTACAGAAAATGTTCCCTTTTATATCCTAAAATGTTTCAGCAAAATTTAACGTACATTCGATAGCCCCCACGTTGCGACGGGGTTGTGAGGAGTATGAGGCAGGCAAAGACAAGCACACTGGACTCCAAACTCGCACGAACCTTTAAGTTTACCTACAAAAATAAAAAAAAAAAATGAATTGGCGTTTATAATGTTCTTGGACAACAAAAACATGGTAAACTGGAATATTATTCAGTGAAATAGTCATCAGCTAAAAAATAAAGTGCTAGCTCACGCTGTAACACGGAAGAACCTTGAAACCATCACGCTACGCGTGGGAAGCCAGTCATGAAAAAACACCTATTCTGGGGCGCCGGGGTGGCTCAGCCGTTGGGCGTCTGCCTTCGGCTCAGGTCCTGATCCCGGGGTCCTGGGATCGAGCCCCACATCGGGCTCCCTGCTCCGAGGGAGGCCTGCTTCTCCCTCTCCCACTCCCCCTGCTTGTTCCTGCTCTAACACTCCCTCTCTGTCAAATAAATAAAAATCTTTAAAAAAAAAACCTATTCTATGATCTCACTGACATGAAATGTCTAGAAGGGAGACAGAAGGGAGACTAGTGGTTGCCTGGGGTGGAGGATGGGAGACTGGGGTGACAGCAGAAGACTACAGGGCTTCTTCCTGAGGGGACAAACATATTCTAACGTTGACTGTGGTGACGGATACACCGCAGTACCACTGACTTTCACCCCTTAAATGAGGGAATGGTGTTGTACGTGAATTTTAATGGGTGAACTATTATTATATGTGAGTCTCAATGAAGATGTAAGCTTTTAAAGGCAGCACAGTTTCCACCTGGTTCTCTTGGGTTCTCTCTTGGAACCCAGGCACCAGGCTTTGAAGAAGCCCACATGTAAGCACTAGAACCACAGCTTCCAGGGGGTGTCCCAGCTGATGATGGCCGGCATCAACCTCGACAGGCGTGAGTCACCAGCCTTCTTCTGATTTCCCTCCCAGCCTCTGAACCTTCCCAGTGACACCATGGAAAAGAGACCAGTCTGACCCACAGAATCCAGGAGGGTTTGGGGGTTTGTTGTTGTTGTTGGAAAGAAAGAGTATCAGCCCACGGAGGTCATGCACAACCCCTCTGTCGTGGTCCCTTTCCAGAAATCTCTTGGAGGCTTCCCCGACCTTGGTAGGTTTCCTGTTTTAAGAACCAAAGGGCCTGGGTAATTGCTCTAGGCTTTAGCTTCCTCGTCTCGGAAATGGGAATAAGAACGTGTAAGAAATGAGACAGCCATAAATGGCAGCAGCTTGACTACCGCCAAGTGACCTACAGACAGCATTCACCGGTACTATGCACCTACCTTGCTGGCTTGCACCCTTCCCTTATGTCTCAGTACACGAATAGGGCTCAAAACCAGCAGGCAGTGGGCCTCTGCCCTCTATGTGCAAGGCATTTCCATGGGTCTTGCAGTGTTACCACACGCTGCAGGCCCCTTGCCTCCCAGGAAAGCGCCAGTGCATTAATTCTTCATGGGCACACCACTTGTGTTTATTGAGCAGAAAATGTTCCAGCAAAGTTCAAGCTCAGACTAAAAGGCATCTCATTTTATCTTATTAAAATTGCATTTTTATCTGGTCTTGCATAGCCAAAAAGAAAAACAGGCTTCAGCTAAAGCCATTTTAAAAGAATAAGTAGCACATCATGAAATCTTTCTTTAAAAAATATGTTCACCAATAAACTTTTTAATGAATTGTACTGCTTAAAAACACCACAGTAACTCATTGCTTTAAAGAGGACCCCAGTGATTCCTCACAAAAAGCAGATACACACGACATAATGCCACTTCTAGGCACACGCCATGAAAACCCCTTGTGTAAGGACGCAGGAGGCAGGTTCAGCGATGTCACTAACGCTAAAAAGAAAAAAAAAATTAAGAAAAACTTTTATCCATCATCAACTGAAGAATGAATTCACATTATCCCTTTGTCCATTATCAACTGAGTAACAAATAAACAAACTGGAACATACACCTATAATGGAATACTAACTACAATAAAAACGAAGGAACTACAAGAACCAAGATCGGGGAACTTACAAGCCTACCACTGAAGAGTAACTTGAATATGCACAGTATGATGTCATCTATAAAATGTTTTTAAAACGAGAAAATGAAACTATCTACCGTGTCGGATACATACATGGTGGTCAAAACTCCCAGCTCATGATGGTGATGAAAACAAACGGAGAACAGGATGGGAGCGGAGGGCTGGGGGTGGAGGGGACTCTGGGGCCGGGAAGAGGATGCAACGGCTTCAACTCCGAAGAGCAAAAGTGCGCAAACAGTCCCGAGGCCCATCGGTGGGTGACCAGGCACACGCCGGAATATACCGTCAGCTTCCAACAAGGAATGAAGGGCTGACAGCCGCTCCCACGTGGATGAAGCCTGGAAACATCATGCGCAGCGAAAGGAACCAGTCACGAAGACCACATTCATATGATCCCACACACATGAATAAGCACATGTCCAGAATAAGCAAGTCTACAGAAACAGAAAGCAGATGAGTGGCAGCCAGGGGCTGGGGAGGAGGGACTGGGGAGTCACGGCTGGTGAGGCAAATGCTCTAAAATTGACTATGGTGATGATCGTCCAACTCCACAGACTAAAAACACTGAACTGTACACTTTAAGTGAGTGAAATAGAGGACAGGTAAATGACGTCTCCACAAAGATGCTGAAAGGAAGGGAGGAAAGGGGGAGGGAGGGAGGGAGGGACGGGGAGAGGCGGAAGAAGCAGGAGGGTCTCCTCCCTGACCGGGTGTCCGGGAAGGCCGCTGTGCCGCGGGGGGCGAAGGCTGGGGCAAGGCAGCCCTTCTGCACCAGCCACCCGGC